ATCCAGAATACTCCAGGTGGGGTTGAGTACCCTTGGACGGTAAATGATCTAGAATACTCCAGGTGGGGTCGAGTACCCTTGGACGGTAAATGATCCAGAATACTCCAGGTGGGGTCGAGTACCCTTGGACGGTAAATGATCCAGAATACTTCAGGTGGGGTCGAGTACCCTTGGACGGTAAATGATCCAGAATACTCCAGGTGGGGTCGAGTACCCTTGGACGGTAAATGATCCTAAATACTCCAGGTTGGGTTGAGTGCCTTGGACGGTAAATGATCCTAAAACACTCAGTAGTGTGAATCGAAGGTAGACTATAGCTTGTGAGCTAGGCAACCGAGAAAAAGGTGAGAAAAGTCAAGTAAGAAACTTTATCTCTAGAAGACTCTTTAAAGTAAATGACCTACGGGTCGAGTATTTTACGAGTATATATACAATATGTATCATCGGGTGGATGAGAGACATCTATACATATGTATCACCCTATTTTTGGGTCTCGTATCTGAAACATTAGTTATTCTTCATATAGCCTGCTTGTCACTAGTACTTTTATGGAGTACTGACCCCTCCGGGGGCCCTCACATTTTTCAGGTTAAGGCTAGAGTCCTACTACCTGTACCTTTGCCTAGGGTGATTGTCCAAGGAGGAAGACGTGGTTCGTGCTTCCATTCGTATTCGAAATTTATAAACTGCTCATGGATATTTGGACAACGTTTTCTTCTAAAAATAGTTGGGAGCCTGCGTGCTCGTGTTTGCCATGTGTGGCTAATTATCAAACATATTATATTTTCCGCATCTGCTTGATTATGATATTAATGTTGATTGTATGTGTTTACTAATCGGTTTGGCAATACAATCTATCAGACGCCTTGTATGATGCAATAAGGATGAACTGATGTTGTTCTTATCGGGTTGTACGTCGGTTATCTACGTGGCTCGGGTGCGGTTCGGAGCGTGACAGTTCCTCTCTGGATTTCTTTAACCTTCCATGTCTTACTATTCTTAAGGGCATTAATTTCTTCCGGGACAACCTTTCTCCATTCGGGACTTTTAAGAGCATCATGCATATTGTTAGGGATTTCGATATGGGAACATTTGTAGTGAATGAGTAGAAGTTGGGTGAAAGTCTGGAATAAGACACATAAATGGAAGTGAGATATCTAGTACAAGATCTTTTATCTTTTCTTAAAGCAGTTGGAAGATCCAAATCACATGACTTGCCTGATAAAGACTCCATTCTCAACTTGGAAGCAGGAGTGTCCGAAGATGTGATGATCTCTTATCTCTTGAGAAACCGTGGTTCATATGTGATACCTGAGAATCTAACTTTTGAGTTTACTTTTTTTATTATAACAATCTTGTTTAAATTCTAATTTGATTTTTTAAATCTCATATTTATATTTTCTTAAATATGTTTTAAGAATACAAAATTTGTGAATATGTCAACAAAAATAAACATGATAAACAACAGACAACAACAAAATATACCCTAGTGATTTTAATTAATTTTGCAACCAAAACATATTACCAATTCAAAAAATACATATTATTTAATGTTTTTACTTTTTTCAATTTCAAAATTTTTATCAGCCCAAAAGGGAAACTTTACCTAGTCAACAACCAAGGACAAATACTACCTTCATCGGCCACCCGTGCCAGAACGCGCATCATCCAACAAAGCGCACCAAAGGAACAAGGGCCTTCCCCGGCCGCACCAGAAGACAGGCAACGGCTAAACTCAAAACACGGGGCTACCAATCCCCGCATCGGTCAAGAAGCATCAAGCACATGAAATCTACTCTCCTGCACTTCGTCTACATCTCAGCTTAGAGAGTGGGGGACTCCTGATGGAGTATATGGGTCTAGGCCCCAGGACCCACATACTCAGAACAGAAAGCACAGCTACTACGCGGTGCCCTCGTCGGCCAGAAGATCCTCGTCGGCCGAAGAGGGGCCAACCCAGAATATGATCTTGAGGCCTAGGAACCAGGGTGTCCTCGTCGGCCGTGCCCGCGTCGGCTGTGTCCTCGTCGGTCACGGAAGACTCACAGAACCGGATTTTACACTTACTCATTTGTATAGCCCACCAGTGGCTTTGTATTCGGCCCAGTAGCGGTCCAGTTGTAAATGGGCCTCCCAAGCCCAAGGTTTGGGAGCCCAGCCCGTATTTTTCCTATAAATACTTCCTCTGGAGGTAGTTACAGGGGTTACAAAATCATTCTATTGAAGCATATATTGCACTTCTCTCTCTAGCTCTCACTTCTCTCTAGATATATACTCTATCATTGTTCTTATCGGGTTGTACGGCGGTTGTCTACGTGGCTCGGATGCGGTTCGGAGCGTGACAATTCCTCTCTGGATTTCTTTAACCTTCCATGTCTTACTCTTCTTAAGGGCATTAATTTCTTCCGGGACAACCTTTCTCCATTCGGGACTTTTAAGAGCATCATGCATATTGTTAGGGATTTCGATATGAGAACCTCTTAGTGAATGAGTAGAAGTTGGGTGACAGTCTGGAATAAGACACATAAATGGAAGTGAGATATCTAGTACAAGATCTTTTATCTTTTCTTAAAGGAGTTTGAAGATCCAAATCACATGACTTGCCTGATAAAGACTCCATTCTCAACTTGGAAGATGTGACGATCTCTTATCTCTTGGGAAACCGTGGTTCATTTGAGAATCTAACTTTTTTAGTTTACTATTTTTATTATAACAATCTTGTTTAAATTTTAATTTGATTTTTTTAAATCTCATATTTATATTTTCTTAAATATGTTTTAAGAATACAAAATTTGTGAATATGTCAACAAAAATAAACATGATAAATAACAGGCAACAACAAAATATACCCTAGTGATTTTAATTAATTTTGCAATCAAAACATATTACCAATTCAAAAATTACATATTATTTAATGTTTTTACTTTTTTCAATTTCAAAATTTTTATATATTTTGATTATTTTAATTTTTCACATTTTTATTTTCCGGAATTTATTTTATATTTTTCTAAACAAGTTTACAATTTAGAAAGCTGTAATTATTTATTTAAATATACACTCTAGAATGTTTCTAATTTACTAAAAACATTTTAATATTTTAAAAAGCTTCAGTTCTTTTGTTATTTTTTAATAGTTTCAAAACACTTATTTTATATATATTCTGTACTAATTTTAAATATTTTAGATTTAAAAATATTAATTTACACCATTTGGTTTATTCTTTAAACTCTTGATTCGGTCAATAATTTTTGAATTTAATTTACAATTTTGAACTTCTGAATATTTTATTACGCGCTTTTTAATAGTCCCTCCGTATTTAAAAGGTCACTACATTAGGTCTTGACACAATATTTAAGGAAGAAATAGTAGAGGTACTGAATACTATAAAAAAACAGGAGATGAGGTGAAAAAGTAGAAAAAAGAAGATAAAAAATAGAAAAAGTAAGAGTAGTTGAATATTTTTAAAGGAAAAATTTACTAAAAAAGTGTAACAAACTTTTAAATATATTCCAAAATAAAAAAGTGTACAAACTTTAAAATACGGAGGAGTATGTTTTATTAATTTGAGATTTTGAGTGATTTCTTTGCTTTTTTAACTTTATTTTATATTTTAGACTTGTATTACTTTATTAATTATACTTAGATAAATAATAAGTAAATTATTAGATGGTTGAATTAATCTTGAAAATTTTACTACTTAGTTTATAAAGTATGGTGTAGATAAGGAATCTTACGTTGCTTAGAAAAATCCGCTCTGTTCAATATGCAAGAGCTATTTGTGAAAGAAAAATGTATTTTAGTCTACTTTTGAAAAAAAATGGGTGACAAAAGTGAAATTTTTTTCGATTCTGAACCTAGTTGCGAAAATTTCCCTTTATTCTTTAGACGCGAGAAGTGTTACTGCTTACTACGATTACATTTTTAGTCCATTCTAAAAACAAGGTTAGCAGTTTTTGTCCAAAAATAAAATACTACCTCGTCCCAGAATTATCTCCTTATTTGACTGGGCACGAGTTTTAAGATAGTGGAAAATGTGTGGTGGAGAGTTGTGCAGAGGAAAGAGAAATGTGTAAGAATGGTTGTGAACCACAAATTCTTTACCGAAAAAGGAAAGAAGAGCTGAGATAAATTTGGGACGGATCGAAAAGGAAAGAATGAAATAATTCGGGGACGGAGAGAGTAAAATATACTCCCTCCGTCCCCCTGTTATTGTCCCATTGCGGTTTACAATGCTTGACCAACGATAAAGCAAACAGATCCCTATCCACACTCAAATTATTTTTAGGGAAAAAAAATTACATATTCAGAAACTACATTAAAAGATTTACAAAGTCGCAAAAACCAGAATCAAATTTGATAAAAATTTGATACATAAAGTAAGAGATTAATAGTGATTTGTGTTGACCAAGTGAATAAGAAATGGGACAATAATAGGAGGACGGAGGGAGTACATACAACGCACCATTGATGTCATTTTTAGTCATACCTCTACCCTAGGCTTTCGTATTTCAACTCGGAAAACCTTACTCTATTTCCGAAACCAATGATTAAATTTCCTCATTTGTGTACCTATCCTAAAGCAACGCGTACTTCATTAATTTACCAGAAACGGCTCAACTTTAAATACTGCCGCCGGCTTATAACTAGACCAGACCAGAAGCAGGCCTTCCAAATCAGGCGGCGTTTCAAAAGTTCCACGTATCTCATCACCCAACCCAAATCCGACGGTCTATATTTAGCAGCTACACCTGAATCCAACGGTTCTCATTCCATGGCCCACACATCACGCATATAGATACACCACATCTGTATCTATATCCACCGCACCGTATTTTTCATCTGATATTTAGTGAATAAATAAATTCTGATTAAATTATATCTGATTAAATATTTATTTATTTTAAATTTAAATTTTGAATTTAAACCCTTTCCAATAAAATACGTAGTAAGCATCATCATTAATTCATTATATATATAGTTATAATTCCGCTAGGGTTTCCACTTTCCAGTAGTTTGTTGGTTACAGAGAGAGAAACTGAGTTTTGAAGATGCAAACGGATAAAGCTTCTGAATCGCCAGAAGATAAAAAACCAGCGTCACCGCCGGGGGAGGCGGAGAAGCGCCAGGAGGAGGCTGAGCAAAAGCCGAGTACGGTGACAGGAGGCGTCGCGCCGAAGCTGGTGCCAGTTGCGGCGGCGCAGACTCCTTGGATACCGGTGCACTACCCCCCGCCGCCGGCAGCGGTAATGCCGCCCCACATGATACCTCCTCACTACATTCCGTACCACCCCCACTTTCTCCACCATCCTCCGCCGCCGCATGCGCACTCTCCGCAGCTACAATCGCCGACGCAGCAGCAAGGAGGATCCAACGGTGAGAACCGAACTATTTGGATCGGTGACCTTCACAATTGGATGGACGAGGATTACCTCCGCAGCTGTTTCTCGTCTACCGGAGAGGTCCAATCCTACATTTTATGCATATCTTTTCATATTCAATTCATTTTCTTTTCTTTTATGCTTTCTTAATTGGGGTATTCTGTTTTTTTCTCTGTTTTGTACTTGTGAGGGTACTATGATTCTGTGCATTACTTGTTCCTGCTTGGTATAGATCTGGGTTATTTATTAGAGTACTTCTTTACTACATTTAACTGATCTAAGAATGGGCACTTCATGAGACCAATGATTACTCTAGTAATTTACCACATCAATGACATTCATGGAAATATGGAATGAAGTGGACAACCATAGAAAGCTGCAGTTTTTCCTGAAAAGGAGTTTTTTTTACCTTGATTTGCCTAGCTGCCTAATTTCTCTGCATACTTCACTCCTGTTTTTGGATGGGCCAGTGAATATTTATAATCCTAGACTTGTAGTTTTAGCCTTTTATTTGTATCTTGCATTTAATACAAGTGTATAAGTTTGCTTACATACAGTGGTGAGATTATCTATGGTGACTCTGTTGGCATAATTTTAAGACTTCGTTGTGACTGAGTATTTCCCAAACGATCATATTGAAACCCTATTTCCATCCAATTATCTTGTTGGTTTTTTATTTTACCTAAAATTAGGTAGTGAAAATAAGGGTTACTCGCACTCATAAATGTATCATCTAAAAACAGGGTTATACTTTTTTTTTGAAGATACCATTATTATACACTTAATTCCTATGGTTAATCTGAGTGCTGTCATCAAATGCTGTTTTGTACCTATACAGATCCTGAAACTTGGTAAGCCAAATACTTTTTAAATAAAAGATTCCTGCTTTCTGAGCGTATGGGTTTTCAAGAACATATAGACTCACAATCTCTTTGACTTTCATCAATGCATAAAAGTATAAGGACTCCCTCTGTACCATAATTTTTTCATCCTTTCCTTTTTGGCCCAAAATTTATCTTTCCAATCAAACCTCAAACGCCTCGAATTTGTTTTTCTTAAAAAGGTGTGAAGTCAAAGCACGAGGAAAACATGTGACAAATAGTACTATACTAAATCATTTTATTTTATGCTTTTGTAAAAATAGTTAGTCAAAATAGTCTATGAGAATTGTGCAAAAGTCATAGTGTTGTGATTAAAAATTTTAAACATAAAACAACAGATGAAGAACTGTATAATCTACCTATACGCCATGCTAAGTATTTGTATAACTTTAAATTAGTACATGAACTATTGCTCTTAGTAATGTTCTTCTAAAACAATTTTCGTTTCTTGATTGACTGTTTGAGAAGTGACAAGACTTATTGCTTGCCACTTGAACAGGTGGTGGTGAAGACCGATTTCTTCTTCTGTCTATATAAAAAGAAAATGGATTTTCTTTTGCAAAATGATTCCTGCTAACAAGAAAATAATTTCTTATGCAGCTTGCCTCCATTAAGGTGATCAGAAACAAACAGACTGGGTTCTCAGAAGGATATGGGTTTGTAGAATTCTGTTCCCATGCAGCAGCAGAAAAAATTCTGCAATCGTACTCCTGCATGGCAATGCCTAATACAGATCAGCCCTTTCGTCTTAACTGGGCAACATTTAGCATGGGGGAGAAGCGTTCAAATAATGGTTCTGACCTTTCTATATTTGTAGGAGATTTAGCTGCAGATGTTAGTGATACCTTATTACTTGAAACGTTTTCTAGTAAATATCCTTCTGTTAAAGCTGCTAAAGTAGTCATTGATGCCAATACTGGACGGTCAAAAGGTTATGGATTTGTGAGGTTTGGAGATGATAGTGAGAGATTGCAGGCCATGACCGAAATGAATGGTGCATATTGCTCAAGCCGGGCAATGCGAATTGGTGCTGCAACACCACGGAAATCATCAGGATATCAACAGCAACATCCTTCACAAGGTAGTTTCACAATAATATTGCCAATCTTAGGTTGTTGTTTATGATAATGTGTATTTTATTTGGTGTGTGCATGTCAGGCCATCACACTATTCTTGATAGTGTGTAGTTGGGTTGATGTAGATGTGGTCAGTGGATATTTACTTGGCAAGAAAGACTTTCCATGGGTTTGGAAATATGTTTGTGTATTGAAGTGGTCCTTTGACTTTGCTCTAATTAGAGAAAACCATTACCATCATTACATTTTTACTCTATGCAAGCCTTCTTGTCCATGCCCAAATCAGTGTATTATCTACTTCATCCCACTTAGTTCTGTCTCACATTTTTTTTATAGAAAATTCAATATCTCTGGCTTTATAATCTCCATTTTGTGTTGGTTTGGCTGTCTCCTTTACTCTGCGTGAAGATCTAAATAGCATCTCAAATTTCCAAAATATATTTTGCTGTAAAGTTTACAGTCTAATTCTGAGGATCCTACTTCTACTTTGATAGTTGCCTCTCTTGTAGCTCAAAAGTAGGGCATATATTTTGTCAGTTTTGGTATAGTACTAGATTGGTTTACCATCAATCTTTTCAGATCCTGCATCTTCGAGTTTTTCCACTTTTACTCCTTTGACTATGGGTAACCTTCCGGTGTTCATTTTTTTATTTTTTCGCTTTTAATCCTTCTCCTATTTTAAAAGTGACACTTTTTGTCCTTCACCTTTTGCGAAAAAAATCATCATTGATAGTCAAATACAAAGTCTTTGTGAGGATAGTCAAGGACTAGAAGTGGGGAAGAATTCGAAGTCAAGTACCAAAAAGAGTCAGATGATTTTAAGTGGCAAAACTCTATATTCTAATTCATCATCCTGCTTCATGCCTCACCAATTATTTTCATCCTCTAGATAATATTAGTCGCCACCATGATAGCTGGCTAATGATCTGTAATCTTCATTTCAAAAGATGTGATCTGGTCTGGAATTTTTAAGGTCTAATATTTCTAGTCTGGTCTAATGTTGATTTCTTCCAATCATGACTGGGTTTATTGTTCAGAATATAAATATAACTATGATCTGAACTGTTTCGAGTTAAATCTATATGGTCTGTTCTGTCTGAATCACTTTGGGCTTATGGATTTGAATGTTGAGTTTGCAGTGTTCCATATTAATGTTAATATGAATATATGTGGTAGGTGGATACTCGAATGGTTCTCCGGCATATGGATCACAGTCTGATGGAGATTCTTTTTCTAATACAACGGTTTGTTTCCTAACTGTATTTTCTCTCAGACCTTGTGTTTTTTCCCTCTTTGCGCTGATAAATTACACTTGTAGATTTTTGTTGGAGGTCTGGACCCAAATGTTAGTGATGAAGATCTTAGACAGCCTTTCTTACAATATGGTGAAATAGTTTCTGTGAAAATTCCACTTGGGAAAGGATGTGGATTTGTTCAATATGCGCAAAGGTGTTCCTTACATAGCCGATGGTTTTGTTGTATCATTTATGTTTTTTGTTCTTTGGCTAAAAGCATGTATGTTACAAATTGATCATTGTCTGGCAGAAATGATGCTGAGGAAGCTTTGCAGAAGTTGAAAGGCCTTGTTATCGGAAAACAGACAGTACGCCTTTCTTGGGGACGAAATCCAGCACATAGGCCGGTAATGACTTTACTTTTCTCCATTAGACCTAACAACCCCCTTGATGTATGAAGTACTACCATGCTATCAATGAGTGTTTTTTAGCATGTGTGAATCATGTATTAATCAAGTTAGGATGAACACTTGTGATCTAATAGAGTAATAGTATTTGTTCAGATCATGCGACATAGGTTTTAAAACTCAATTGAATAAACATATTAATAGCACTAAGGTGTAGTATGGTAGACCATAATAACGTTTACTAGTTTGGTAGACCATACTATTACCAAATACTGGAGTAGTTTTTGTGGGTGGTGTTTGGTTATTCGTATTTAAGATTTTGCACGAAACTGATAAAAGTTACCAAATTCCGAAGGCATTAGTTTTTTCTTTGGTTAAACGTGTTTTTGTAAAGCTGCATGCTAATTGACATTTCACTTTATTTTTTATGTGCACTGCATTTAGCCAATCTCTCCCATAGAAAGTGTTCTGCATGACACATTGCATATCGATAACAAATTGTCTCACTGTACATTAAAAAGCCATATCAAACGGACTCTTTGTGGTCTAGCACTTTGCATTATGGGAAGTGTTTATTTTTTGTATCATATGAAATGGCACATGGTGTAAATCTCCAATATGCATGCATCTCTTTATACTAGTATTACTTTCGTTGCATCTTACCAAACTACACCTAAGGTTTGATTTGAATTCTGGATGCTTGGTCTTGTTTTTGTTTATACTTTTTTGCAGTCGAGATCTGAATTCATGAATCAATGGGGGGGAAGCAGCCCATACTATGGAGGGCACTTCTACGATGGCTATGGTTATGCTTTCCCGGCTCGTCATAGCCCGAGTATGTATGCTCCAGCGGGCTTCAGGGCTTATCCGATGTACGGGACCCACCAACAACAAGTAAGCTAAATGGATGGTCTTCCCAAGAGAACTCCCCCAGTTAAGATGACATTGCCCATGCTGCGGCCAAATATACATACATATATATACTGACTATATATGTGTTGATTCAAGGTTATTGGGCCATGTAGAATTTAGCTGACCCTCCAAACATGGAGTGGCATTGAATTTTGACTTGAATGAGGTAGTTCTTGTTTAGAAATCGATTCTATTAGACATTTAATTATAAACTTTGGAAGTTTGGACCAGACGTGGAACTTTATTTTATATTGGAATAATAATTATTGTGTTTGCAACATGATTGTGTGGTTCACTGGCTCCTCTTCTAATCTTTTGTGATAGTGGGTTTCCTAAATGGCTAAATGTTGAGGGAGTACCAAAGTACTTCATCGGTGAACATGGAAATGGTGCTGAAAGTCTGAAATGTCGAATTTGGTCAAATGTCTACATGTCAATAAGAGGAAATTAATGCCGGGAAAAGGATAATACTTGTATTTTCAAATATTACATTGATTTTATCCCTGTTTATGACCATTTCTATATTTTAAACTAAGAAAAATACATTGTATAATATAATGAAAAGCGTGAAATTGATAAATATCCTGATTTTGTTTGTGAAATTCTCATCTATAGAAATGAAATGATAGTTTAAATTATAGAAACTTTGGTATTTTTCTCTATTTTAGTTAAAGGGCAACTTAAGATTATTTTTAAATTATGAATCCAATTTTTTTAACCTATTTACTAAAAACAGTCGATTCGTAACCCGTAATAACAAAACATTTTTTAATGCACCATCTTTTAAGATTTTAAATATAAAAGAGATACTACGTATTATCCAAAATAGGACTTAAACAGCTTGAAAATTCCAAAATAGGACTGACATGTTTTTATTCCCAAAATTGGACTAATTACTGTCATGTTTTGGCAGGACCAAAGTACCAAACTTCAAACATGGCAGTAATTAGTCATATTTTGGGAATAAAAAACATGACAGTACTATTTTAGAATTTTGAAACTGTTTTAGTCTTATTTCGGGAACTTTCCCTATATAAAAGGTCAAAACATTTGGAAAAAATGACACCTGTATTACTAGTGTGTTTTCAATTCCAAAAATATGACTACTTCTCAATTTTCCATAAAAGTGACAAAAAGATAATTACAAGCCGATTAAATGATTTTCTTAATTCATTAAATTTCTCAACCGCTTGTCTCTCTCCTTGAATATCACAATAGGATAACAAAGGAGAAAGATTATCCTCATCAATTGCCTCCACTAATGATGCAAAGACGCAAACAATCACATTTGAAATTCCGCCCCACCCACTAACGATGCAAACAAATAAACAATCACACAACTTACTATCTATCACTTTTCCTCGCTCGATTTGGTGATTTTTAATGATTCCCCATCGATCCCATCTTCTACCTTTATGCTAACATTTTTTGTTCTCAAATGATTAGTGAAATAATCCATTTAAGTAACTGAATTGGCTTTGGGGATTGAAAGTTTTTGCTAGCGTTTGTTTCGATCATGGAAACTTAAACCAATCAATTTTGGTAAGTGAAATTGAATCAAGGTATCAAGTGACTAAACATGGTCACTAATGGGAATTTAATTGATTTTTATGGCGGCGGGCTCTAGTGACTAGCTAGGGTCGTGAGGTGGCCTAAGTAATCACTATCGGAAATTGATAGTAAGGTAGTAGCTACTTTGGGAGCCACTGCTATGCTAAGAAGTTACATAGTCACTATGAGATTTAAATTAGTTTTTCATGGTCACTGACAGTGACGACAGTGACGCTCATGGCAACGGTAGTACACTCTTGCACAAATTATTAATTACTTGGAGATCACTAATCATCATTATTAATTAAACAGGAGTACATACCATAGTTACTTGGACATGCCTAATCTTTCACAAATTATTATTAATTATTAAAAGGGGACTACTACTTACTTGGACGTCACAAATTTTGCACAAATTTATTATTAAATAAAAGGGGTACGATTAGTGACTTGAACTTTATCAAATTAGTTACGACACGTTGCCACATGCCTTTGAATCATTGCAAATATTTGAACCATTATTTCATTGTTTATCCACGTCCCTCCTAATTTTTTGCATGTCACTAACCTAAAATATAGTATCATATCAACCATTAAATTCTTTTCTATTTTTTTAGCATCTAAACACATTAATTGCCTTTCTAATTAAAACCTATGTTTTCCTTTATTTGTAACGATGAGTAGTCATATTTCTGAACTTTTGAATCTCTAGTCACTTTATTGGTAATCTGTGTTTTAGGAGTAATATTAAAATAAAAAGACCAAACATTTGTTGCCTTTGAGGCTTTGAAAATAAATTGTAATAATAATAATAATAATCTTGCTAACACATATTTTCCCAAATTTTAAAAATCTAATATAAATTGCTTTAGTTTATAGCCACTTTAATTTGATAATATGCATGACTATCTTGCATCAGTGTTATTTGTGAGATATAACGTGTAATTCGTGATCAATAAAAACATTAGGTGGCTTTAGATTCTTTAATTTGTGTTTTCATTTAATTTCTTTTCGACTCTTCTATATTCAAATGGGGGTAATTTTTTTTTACCATATTTTCTATTCTTCTTATGACAGTAGACTTTTAGTACTACATCTGTCCCACTTGAAGGTTGGGAGTCCATTATTCTCCAATTAACGTAAATGTTCTTAATCTTTTATCCAACTTTTATCAAATCTGTTTTTTTCGCGTTCGCAATGGACAATTGAACATTTTTAAATGATAACAAATATTTAGGTTACAATTTGAACAAAGTATTTTTTCATTTCTATATTGAATCTACAACTTTTTACAATTAAACATGCTTTTCTTAGAAATAATTCATTTAGTTTAGATTTTATTTATTATTAAGATATTTCATCATTTTTTTCATTAATTAAAATTACTTTAGATTTAGGTTGTAATAGATTTATTGTTTTAAGAGAAAATATTTACATGGCATTCAAGTAATTCACCAAATCTGCAATATAAGATATCTTTCAATCAAATAAATTAATGTCAAATTCCCTGAATTCTAATCAAACACAAATGGGAATAAATTGAATACATTTTCATCAATCTAACATACATACCCAACAATGTAACATTCTCATGGTAATCTGACATTGTTTGAACCAAATGAGCCCTTGATGTTGTCTCGAATTTGTTTTCACCTTTCTAATTAATTAATGATATTTTCAATTGGGATCAATTTTTTGATATGATCTATGAAAGCAAAAGTTATTTTTTAACTTTAGTGTATATACTAAATATATTAACATAAATCTTGATACTCCCTCCGTCCCATATAACTTCGTCAACTTTCCTTTTCTGGATGTCCCACTAACTTTGACACTTTCCCCTTTAAGTAAAGAATTTGTGGTTCTAGTTCATTCTCTCTCATATGCACAAAACTCAACCACACAGTTTTTACTTTATTATTTCCCGTGCCGGTCAAATTTGGCAAAGTTATAAGGGACGACGGTAATATATTTTTGTCGAGAGTTTCATATATCTGAAAGATTTATTAATTACGTATATGACAATCATATCACGATTCTAAAAGTGGCATTTAAGAGCTAGACAAATAAGTTAGGTTGTGTATAAATGATAATTCTTTTACTCATAGATGTAACTTTGATATATACTATTTGGTCATAAAATTGAGATAATTTGTCGTTTCTAAATACAGTGCATCTTTATTTTTTATTTCTTATTGCATGTTTGACATGTTTATATTTCGATTATTACCTACCACTTGATGTGAAAATGTTTTTATAGTTTTAATTTAGCTGGCATTTTAAGGAAAAAATTGCCAGTATAAAGTCTAGATTAATCGTTACAATCGCGTTATGACATCGACCTGTTGTCACTGCCATCACCTTCATTGAATCAGAATGTCCCAAAACTATATATTCTAAATTCTTTCTCAAAGGAGATAGAAAGACTAATTTGGTCAATTCTAAATCATAGAAAAGCTCATATCTTAAAAAAATCATCACACCTATTATTAAATAAATAAATTGCAAAAATGTGTAGTTATTAGTTTTGAAAAAACAGCAAGCTACTGATGAAATCTAATGGATAAAAAATAGACATGGAGCATGTTTTTTTTGTTTAGATAAATATATTTGAAAAAGCGAAGTTCATTTGGATTCAACCAAGAGTTATAAATAAACCGGCTCTTTTAATTGAAAAATATAGATTGAGAACATGTCATATTGAGTTAAAAAATAAGACATTCTCAATATATAAGAATATGCTTTATCAACCAATGTTATAATTGATTGAATAAGTGATTTTCCATTAGTTATAATTACTCATACACAAGGGCGGCTTTGAGGGCAGTTGGGCCAGGCAACTGCCTTGGGCCTCAACTACCAAGGGGGCCTCCAAAAAATTCTACTCCGATATTAGTATTAGGTGTTATTCGCAGACCGCCAATACACCAAACGGCATTTGCAAGCAGAAATCAGGTTTATAGTTCACTTTTGACTATTAGTCCTTCATCAAAGTTGTAGCTAATGAAGTCTTCTATCCAACACAACTTGCAAAATTGGATTTGAATCATCCAATAAAAATATATGAATAAAATGGTGGAAGGTCGCATTCTAAAATCTCAACAGAGATTGTCTGACTTCATCGCCTGTTTTCACCTTGCTTCTCTCAGATTCTCACAATGGTGTCTTCATATGATTTTTATCCATTGAAGTTGGCTTTCATATGAAACTTGAATCATGTTTTTTGGATGTTCATAAGAAAAGATATGCTTGAACGATTGACAGAACGTCATCCTGACCGTTGTTTTCAAGCTCTATTCGTCTTCTTTTGATCCCGTAGCCAATTCTAGAGCTCTTTTGTCTTCAAAACTTTGTTTTAACACCTCACTGATCTCCAATGTTCCTAATCAACTCTAAAATGCTTCTCAACTCGTCCCTATTGCTTCTCAAACACCGATGTCAGGCTCAAATTTCCCGATTTTGACTCCAAAAATACCAAAACTCGAACCAACGGCCGGTAAATATGACTTGAGCTTAAAATTGAGACTTATGACACCTTAAAGTTAGGAAAAAACTATCAAAAGCCGATCTCAACACGCATCAACGTCCAACACAAACCGCTAATCGACTACTGTATATATGCCTCACTGCCCACTGTCGACATGAGTCCTTGGTTAGTGAATCAACTAAGACTCTTCAGCTCTTCTCTCTGAGTCTCGTTCTTGAAGTCTCTTAATACTTTTACAAGTACAAGTTTGCCTTGTGTTTTGAATAAGTTTGCATTTTAAAATTTATCCTTTTCAATATTACAAACATTATATCGTGGACTTTGAATATGCTTTTTTTCATAAGGCGATTTTTATTCAATTTATCTGATTTTAAAATTGATTTGTACATAGTAAATATTTTTTGTCTGGGGCCTCCAAAATGCTCAAGCCGCCTCTGCTCATACATGTGTCAGTGCGCCCGCGCACATATACTATCTATACTATAATTGCAAGAAACTGTCACACTAGTTACTTTTATTTATACTGAGTACTACAAAAAACAAATTACAAGGACATCAGCATATACACGTAGACCTGTCCCCAATTCAGAATCGAACCGAAACCGAACCGGCGATTCACGATTCATCAAATGCTCAAACAAACCTTGAAGGGCCGGTTCAAGGCGGTGCCGTACCTCTTGCTCAGGGCCGGCTAGAGCAATTATGAGGCCCTAGACGGTCATGTATAAATTTTGTTTTAAATATGTTTTATTTAACCCAATGATATAAAAAATAGCAATTAAATATAAGTAAATTACATATAAAATACATCATATACTATTAACACAGTGAGAATATTCTTCGAAATCAGAAGATCAAAGTTGATGAAAAAATACAAAGAGCCCTAGAGGGAGAATGTTTTGTGCTTACATACAACATACCGATCGATAGAGCCGGAAAGTGATTTCATGACCAAATCATTTCTTAATTTTTTTCTTTGTCTTTGTACATCTTGATTCATATTTTGTTTTCCAATCATCACAAAACATAAAATTTCATTCAAAATCATACTATCACTAAATATAAGTTAATGGTTCATAGATATAAATTTAAATCACTAAATTTAATCAAATATAAAAAATTATAAGTATGTTCAATATTTCGATGAATCAAAATAACAAATTACAATTTCAATTATTCAATAAGAATTCAAATATATTTAGAATACTCATTATCCTAAATCCCTAGCCCTACTACCCTAGCCAACAAAGAAAAAAAAAAGGAAAAATGAGCAAATAAACCCACATACTAACCAAAAAGGTCAAATAAGCCCTTGTATAAGAGACTTTGTCCCGCCGTCGCCATTTGGGGCAGTTCTAGGTGGAATTTTTTGATGAATTTTTTTGAGAATCTTATTCATTATGTCTTGTTTACTTATACCAAATTTTAGCTAACAATTCAACATGGAAGGCATTCGAATAAATTCTTGAAGATAACTGCACTTTTAACTGCGCAGTTATCTTCAAGAATTCATTTGAATGTATTCCCGATTGATTTTTTAGGTGAAATTTGGTATGAGTAAAGTAGACATAATGAATAAGATTCTAAAAAAAAAATCATCAAAAAATTACAAAGGAAACTATCCCAAATGTTGATGGCCGGACAAAGTCTCCTAAATAATTTTAATAAACTTATTTTATAAATTAGAGGCGCCTAAAATTTGAAGGCCCTAGACACTTGTCTGGGTAACTCCCCCTAAAATTAGAGGCCGGCCTGCTCCTGCTCCGGCTAAACCGGAAACCGGGACAGGTCTGTGTACACGTAAAAAATGTGGGGGCCATGCCCCCTTAACGCCTAGTTACTCCCAGTATGTTCCCAAAAAAGATGGCGTATAAGCTAAGAATAATTGTTGGCCTAAGAAGCGGCGCGGGAAATTGTGGACGGCGATCCACCGTGTGCGACATTTACAGCCCCAATCGCTCGCCATGCTTCAGCCTTATGTCTCCCATCTCTATCCTCTTTTTCCTCCTCCGTCGTCATCTGCCACTCATCTGCGACTCCGCCGGAGTGCAATCTTTTGCCGCTCCATCGAAACCGGATCTTCCGGCGGGTCATTAATTGCGTCAGTTTCATCCTCCGAGCTTCCCAAAGTCGTCGTCACCAGAGAACGCGGCAAGAATGGCAAGCTCATCAAAGCTCTGGTACTCCCTCCCTACCTCTCATCCTGTACATTCGGGAAGATTCGCATTTCCCGTTATTGGTCTATCCGCACATCTTGATTTGGAAATTCTTTTTGTGAATCCACCAGTTATTTGCAGGTGTCTTTATTTTTATAAGCCTCTTTTACATTTTCATAAATGAAATTTACTGTTTGCTTGGTTTATACTTATTGATTTATGTAAGGATGAATGTCACATAATGTATTTGATCAAATGTCTGAAGTCTGAACTAGACGCTGCTCCACTTGTCATTTGGAAAGATCTCTCAAATTCAATTTTTCCCTCTAAAAACCACTCCATCCCTTCCAAATTGCTGTCACATCCAGGTTAAGAGGTTTAGCCGAGGTCAAAGTTTGTTCTGTTCGCATGTTTGTAATATTTGAATTAGTATTAGTAATTACGGAGTACAATTTACTTATATAAAAGCTACACTAGAAATTCAATTGAATCACAAAAACCAATTTTAAATACGAAAAAAGTTTCAATTGAATCACAAAAACCAAATTTGAATACTTAAAAAGCGTGGTCATTAAATAAAAAATTAAAATGGAACTGAATTGACGTCAGAATAGTGAATGAGATAAGTAATTCGGAACGTAGGTAGTAGAATTGACGGCTATAACATTCTCTTAGAAAGGCATCATCCATTTCAGCTAGAATGCAATGCATGGTGTTTAGATGGGCTTTCAGCTAAAAATAAAGGTTACACATAAACATGGGTTCATCGGAGCTTATTAATATCTTAGATGCTCCCCACCTATCTCTTCTTGTCTTTTTCTTTGTAGTGACTAGTATAGTGTGTATTATGTCTTAGATTGCAAACTATATGTATAAATTAAGCATTACCTAGCACTCTGACATGATTAAGAAGTCAGTTTGTAAGATGATTGTTTTTTCTAATAAATAAGTTTTACCTCTATGTACATGTATTCCATATATGAGGTGAGAAAAAAGCTTCCTACAAATTCAATTAACATAGGCATAGGAAAGCAAAGACCAAACTTTTTTCCTTTCATAATCAATGTAAGATGTGGTCTGCACCCATCTTAACTAGCAATGTGGCATGCCTCTATAGGTCACTGGCAAACAAAGGCAATCTTAGCCTCACGATTTAGGTTACACTAGTAATGCAGTATTCATCATCTTGTGCAGGCAATGCATGGGATTGATAGTCTAGAGCTTCCTCTCATTCAACACACAAATCTTTCCGATTTTGATACGCTTCCTTCAGTGTTGAGGCGTAAGTGTTTCTTGTCTTTCCTGTATGAAAGTTCATATTCATTTTCTGGGCTGACAGTACTTAGATATTGTGCAGGTCACTGTTATATCCATAATTTTATTTACTTCTTGTGTTCTGAATATGTTATTACCTCATGCATGTCAGATATATTATTCACCATTTCCCCATTAAATCCTGACTCTATTGTTCTATGGATAACCTTCTTTACTTGTTTGGGAGTTTACCAAATTTGTTATAGAGTTTATCTTTTTTTTATTGGCATTTTAGTGCCAATGTTGTGATCTTTAAAAATGTAAAAAATGTATTTAGTTGTTTCTACGTTTAAAATTTAAAATTATGTTACTAAGTTCTTATATTTTTCATTTGGTATCTGCATATATTAGTGTTTAGATCAGTATTTAACATCACTGTATTAGTATTGCTATCTTTCATATAAAAAAGCATATTAAAAGTTTGATTTTCCATTGTTTACTTAATGAAGCAAACAATATTGTATTTCAAGCAGGAGAAAATACAATGGTCGCCTATACCCGACTCAAACCAAACCAAATTACACTGTTAAAATTTGATATTTCCACATCCATGATCTTAATCTAATGTCTCTGTTTTTTACTAGTTCTATCAAGTTTATATTTCCACATCCACTAGTGTTGATTGCAAATCTAATCGATCATATATTAGATTTCTCCCTTGTCTTATATAAACCTAAGTTCATCTAGAGACTATTTTTTTCCTTCTTGAGTGGCTCAATCATGGCTTCTTTTCTCATATTTCGTGTGCAGAAAACAACTTTGACTGGATTGTTATCACTTCACCAGAGGCGGGTCTAGTTTTCCTGGATGCTTGGAAGTAAGGCCCAGTCCTTGATAGAATTTAATGCTTGGTTTAAAGGTTTCATCATAAATCATAATGCTGAATTATTCTGAATCCCTGGCTGAAAACATTATATTGAGTATTTATCCTTTTCCTTAATTCTTTTCACATAGTGCTGTGATCACAAATGGTTTTGAGGGTGAAATTCTGTAGACCGGGGCTTCTTGTTTTATGAATTTAAGTGATGCAATATACCTATAGCTTAAAAGGAGGTTTTTCTTAGATAGGCTAAAGGGTCAAATAGGCCCCTGTATAGGTCGTATAAGCTCAGATCAGTCCCTTAACTAAAAAAAGGTTCAATTCACACCCCGAACCGACAAAAAATGGTTCAAAATTTCATTTTTTACGGGTAAACAACCAGTCATTTTTTAATTTTTAAATTGGTTCTGTTTTTATTTTCGATTTATTGCAATTTTGACACTTTTTAATAGTTTAGGGGTGCGAATTGGACCTTTTTTACCGGTTGTTTAACCTTTACAAATGAAATTTGAACCCTTTTTTGCCGGTTCGGGGTGTGAATTGAGCCTTTTTTTAGTTCAGGGACTGAATTGAGCTTATAGGACCGGTACAGAGGACTATTTGACCCTTTAGCCTCTTAGATATTGTCAATTGTCATATAAAACTTCATAATTGGAGAAAGGGGGGTCTGATTTTCAAACAGTTTCCATTCTTCATCCTGCTGTCTCTTTGTTTCCCCTAAATATTTTTATATGACATGAAAGTCCTCTATTGGGAGATCCACTGAAGGAATTGCACTAAATTTTCAAATAGGGTTGCCGGAACCCCAAATGTCAGAGTTGCTGTCATTGGGGTGGGTACAGCTAGCATATTTGATAAAGTTACTCGCTCATCAAAGCAGTATCTTGATGTTGCTTTTGCTCCATCCCAAGGTATGAACATGTATTTGTTTCCCTCTTGAAGCCTTGGTCCCATCAAGAAATTACTGTGAAATGAACCTGTAGCACTGAAAATTAAAGAACATGCAGAACGTTGCTCTGATAATTTAAATTGCTTATTGTCACTGAAAATTGCATTTTTCTCTTAATTTTGGCAGCAACTGGTAGGGTCTTAGCTGCAGAACTTCCTAAGCAAGAGAAAAAAAGATGTACTGTTCTTTATCCTGCTTCAGCAAAAGCCAGTGGTGAGATTGGTATGTAATGTATTACATTATAAGTATTAAGTAGTTTCACTACGTTGTTTCTTTTTATCTCGGTGTCATTTGCTACTATTCTGTACTGTGATTCATATAATTGAAAGCGAGGATGTGAATGCCAGAGAGCAGGATTGCATTTTTGTCAATTTTTCTTCTTACTGATATATATAAAGAATAGAAATGAACAAAGTGATCAAGTATATTTGGGGTACCTTTGTGCCTGCCCTCTCAGTCTCTGCCGTTACAAGCTGCAACTGTAGGGCTGACAGAGCTTCTGATCTTGTTAGTTAAAGAATTGAAAGTAGTTTTGAGAGGAAGGCCTTTCAAAGCTGCAAGTGTAGGGCTGACTAATATATATCACGTTTTTTTGCAGAAGAAGGCCTTTCAAAGCGTGGATTTGATGTTACAAGGATGAATACCTACAATACGGTATTCAGCTGTTTTTTTTCTCATGTTTGTTATTGTTTAGTGCTTTAGCAGAATTATTTATTTATTTTTTGTACATGCAACTCCACCAAATTTTATTATGTTCATGCTAAGGTGCTTAGGGAAAAGGATAATAAGGTAATCCTGACGTCTTTTCTACTGATCTCCCTTGTTTTCCTTTCAGGAACCAGTACAACACATTGATGACGAGCTTCTTAAAACAGCCCTGTGTGCCCCTGTTGTTGCTGTGGCGTCACCTTCTGCCATTTAGTAAGTCACTGCAATTTCATTTCCATAATAATATAAGCAGAACAGTCTTTCAGATTCACACATCTTTTGTGCTCGTTTTATTGGCCATAGCAAGAAGATTTCTTCTCTTCATTGTTCTTGTTTTCTACTCTGTATCTTTCTTCATGAATGAATGGCTTAAGTGACTTACATTTATTTATTACACTGAATTTTATCTTGTTTTCCACAAATCAACAGTGCATGGTCAAATATCATTCCATCAATGGAGGAGTGGGGAAATGCTGTAGCATGCATAGGTGAAACAACTGCTTTGGCAGCTAAAAGACTTGGACTAAGAAATGTCTACTATCCCAAAAATCCTGGTGTTGATGGGTAATCTTTTGTTTCTAACCTCTGTTAATGATATAGTGATATAACTCCTTGTCTCCAAACAAAGAAAAAAAGTCATGTTTGAATATGTCACCATTTTTTTAGTCAGTGCAATAAAGGTACACTTTATAAGTTGTGGATTGCTTCTGGGCTTTGCAGGAATCTTACTTATAATTGAAAGTTGACCCTGAATTCAGGGCTCTGTATTTGAAACATGACTTCTTCTTTTTTGACAGAAGGTGTATCATTTTTTAAAAACTCTGAATTATTAATAATTAATTTGAATTAAAATTAACTAAAACTGCATTTGAACTGTTGGGAGCTTTCCCAATTCCCTGCATTTGAGCAGGAAAATTGTAAAAATTGGAAAATGTAAAAAGATTGTGAAAAATGTCAAAATCTATGAATAATCAAAAAATATGTAAAAATATTAAAACTCGAAATATTAAAAACAAATGTCAAAATAGTAGAAAAACTGAAATATTTAAACAAGGATTAAATACTTTAATAACGTTTTGTTTTAAATATTCCCTTACATACTCTATCAATTTCCAGGTGGGTTGATAGCATTCTCGAGGCCTTGGGCGTGCTTGAGAAAGTCCAAAATGTATAAGAAATGAATTTAATGTTGCATCTTCTATTCTTCTTTGTTATCCTAGGTAACATATTGTCCCTCAAACTCATTCCATTTCAAAGGTAAATATGCACCTGTTAGAGCACGCTTTTCAATTACACATAACCAGATTTTCATGTTGCAGATGTTAATATGGAAGGGATTTTCTTCAAAGAGGTAATATAGTTGGCAAGTTGCATGCATCTGCTGGGAGTTGCGTATGTTTTAAGATATCTTCAGGTGTTGTACATGGATAATTCAGCTAGTGTTTTCTTCTGTCCACAAGTGTAAATATCCCGACTGTTGTGATTTGTAATAGAGTTATATTGCAGGTTTCACCACGTACTGTCTACTATTAAATGGGTATGTATGTATTGTATTACTTTGGAAAAATTGTCAAATAAGCTCTCAGACTATAACCACAATGGCAATTCGGCCTTTGTACTATAAAGGGAAAATCGCACTTTTAGTCCCTGAAATAGTCATCATATTGAAATGTCAGACCCATGTTCCCTAGTTTATAAATGTCACCCCTCAATTGTCCAAATTGCTACAAATGTGGTCCCTTGAGGGGTGAAATGTACAATGTGGGCGAGAAGTACATTTCACCCCTCAAAGGACCACATTTACAACAATTTGGAAAATTGAGGGGTGACATTTACAATCCCATAAATACAGGTCTGACCTTTCAATATGATGACTATATCAGGGACTAAAAGTGCGATTTTCTTACTATAAAAACACTCAATTAAACTCATTAACTGGGTTTTAGTAGGTTAGCAGCAAGTTAGCCGGTTAGCAGCAAGTTAGCCGGTTAGTCTGCTCATTTGTATTCCTATGTTTTTCACTATGTTCTTTTTATATACTACCTCAGCTCTGTCCTATAAGTCTATAACCCATGTTTTGTTTATATTTAACATAATTATTAATAAAGTGGTTGAAAAAGTAAAAGTAGTTTTGAAGTTTGAGTGTAATAACGTGTATAGTCAACCAAGCATTCCAGCCCAGCTGGTTGGTGAGGTTACCGTGCCTAGTGGGAGGTCTCGAGTTCGAAACCCGCTAGGTACATAAAGGTTTGAAACTCAATGGAGTGAGTTTCAGCCTTGATTACCCCAGCCCCCCGCCCCCCAGCCCTCCTCCCCAGTGGCGGAGCCACTATAGTGCTCCTCCCCTGATCCCTGGAGTAAAAAAAACAAAAAAAACAAAAAAACATGTGTATAGTCGTTGCTTCCAAGATGTTCGGCATTGGTTATTTGTTTGCCCTCAATAATAATTGGTTTCATATTCTTGGACTATTTTTGGAAATTGCATGTTTTTGACATACATAGGGACTGACACAGGACCGGTAGGCGGTATTGTTTGGATCGGCCCATGATCAATTTTCTGGTGCCGGTACTGGCCCAACGTAGAAACGGGATAGGCCCGGGCTTGATATTTTGGGACCGGACCAGCCGGGCCCGATTCCGGTCCCAACAGTCGTTTCTTGTAAATAGAGGGGGGACCCCTGACTTCACCTGACGCGGGACCTGTCACCCGCCCGGTTATTCGCACCGAAACCGGTACCGAACCAAACCAGTTCAGTAATGGGTTTCACTATTTCAGAATCGGGACTGGCCAGCTGCGAGCCCGAGTTGGACCGGACCAGCCTAGGTCCATGATTAGACATACATACATGCATACACATACTTACATAAGGATGTTTGGAACTGATTCTGCTTCTGCTTTTTTTAAAACAGAAGTAGAATCGGTTTTCAGAAGTTGGTCTCCCCCAACATCTAAAAAACTGATTCTAGGAGTAAATTAGAGCACTAGAAGTACTTCTGTACTTTCACTCAAACACTGCAACTTTTGATTCTGCTCTTGCAGGAGCAGAAACAGTTCTAAGAATCCGATTCAAACACCCCCATTCATATACCTACATACACGAACATATTAAACACCAAAAGGAAAAGAAAGAAAATAAAGATAAAAAAGATAAGCAATTATTAAAAGATAATATAAAAAGAGATGAATATAATAAAAATGTTAAAATAAAAAGGATACAAATAATGTTTATATATATAAGGATTAAAAAAACAAGAAAAAAAGATGAAGAGAAAAGATGATACGAGATCACTCCTCCACACGAATACCTGCCACCCTCCACTTTGCTCTCTCCAAAGTCATACCCTCATCTAATCCAAGAAGAAGCATATCACTTCGGCCTGCCCTAACCCATGTCTGTTTGGGGTCCCCCCCTCTCTCTCTCTCCCCTGCCTCTTCTCCACACATCTCAACTCGTCTAACAAATGCATCACTCCAGGGGCGGAGTCAGGGCATTGGGCCGGACTAGGCCGGTACAAAGAATATTTTTGAAAAAAATTTTATACGGAATTTTGTACACTAAAAATATAGACATTTTTTAAATTTAGACTGGGCCAGGGCCAGGGTTGGCCCTCCCCTAGCTACGCCCCTGCATCACTCAGTCTTCTACGCACATGACCAAACCACAGTAGGCGCGACTCCCGCATCTTGTCTTCAATAAGTGCTACTCCTAACCTTTGTCTGATTGTCTCATTCTTCACACGGTCCTTCCTAGTATACATACACATCCAACGCAGCATGCACATCTCTGTCACACTCGATCCCCTCTATCGATAATTAATTAATTTTTAATAATTAAATCTTACATATTCGGAAAATACATTGAAATCTCTTCAAAGTTCCAAACTCCAAATTAGAATATAATTAAAATTGACATCCTAATTAAACGAATAAAATGAAACTGTTTGACCAAGAGAAATCAAATTTGCAAATCAATTTGGTATAGAAATTTAGTACAAAGTAATACTAACCGGTTAATGTATCATAAACGTCATTAAATATTTGAAAGTTTGGTCTGGGTGTGGAAATCCGAAATCCAAAGCACTGAAATCAAGATGGCTAACATTTTCATTTATACTTTACAAATAAATAAATATATTGATCAAGAAAAGTCAAATTTGTAAATTAAATTGAGCCGGAAGTAATACGGAGTAATAATACTGTAATAGTGAGTGACATTAACAGGTTAATATATCATAAAGGTCATTAAATGTTTGAAAGTTTGGTCTGAGTGTGGAAATCCAAAGCAGTGAAATCAAGATGGCTAACATTTTCATTTAAACTTTACTGCTTATACAAATCCGCTGGCGTTCATCCATGGTTTCCTTCTCTCTTTAACTTATTTAACTCTGCAGCTTACTTTTCACGGTCTACTATAAATTAATATTATTTTCAACCACCCGATCGATATCTTTGATTTCAGTTATCAGCACCAGTATGGTAAGTCTTTCTCCTCTCTGTTTCATTCTTTCGATCTCTTATTTTGGTTCATTTTATTCTTTTCTTCAAATCTGTTCTTTTTTTTTTCGTTAGGATTTCCTCAGCCCATTAGATATTTTTTATTCAAATTTATACTTCGATCATGATTCATGACTTAAGTTTTTGTGTCTCCATGAATTGGTCAGCTTCTGATTTTGCTTTTTTTTTTTGCATCTTTTTTAGCCTTCTCAAATCTTATTCTTCATTCCAAGGCATACAGATTTTCCTCTTAATTTCATGTTATTTCCTGTGCCTTAACAGATTTCATTCGTCTTTTCTGTGAGTACTTACGGTTTGGTTCTCATACTCGCCAGATATACTTTTCTTCAAATGTGAATTCAGATTGAGAAGGTAAGTTCCCACACTCATACCTAATTTCAGATTCTACTTTCATATATGCAACTCTTTTTCAGTTTCTGTTAGAAACAATCATTTCTTAATTAACTATTTTTTTAAAACCTGTGCATGTTTTTGAAATTCTACTTCACTAAGATTATTTAATTTACCTTTATAATGAATTTCATACAATTAGGGAAAATTACTTTCAATTGAATTGTACATAAGTTGGTGTGAAAAAGCTGATTGATTTCGTATTTGGTTTTGTAGTTTTGCATTTTTTATTTGGTTTTTGTATTCAAAGGAGTAGATTAATTATTATGGATTTAAAATTTTCTATGATCTCATGTTCTTATCAAACTGTGAAGGCTTGCTAATTGCTATAGGTTTTCTCAAAATAAAACTAAACATAAGAAAAGAACTTTCCTTAGCAATTTTTTTTACCCATCCTTAGCTGGCCTAGCATTTTCAGGGACTGAAGTTAGATCCCTAAGGTTTCAATCAATGACTATTTGGTTTATAATGATTTCTTAGCAGAGTTCATTTTCATTTTCATTTACCCCAGTGCCGCAAAGGCTCCCGCCTACGGTGGGGTAAGGGGGGTCGGATGTACGCAGTCTTACCCCTATACTAAAGCACAAAGAGACTGTTTCCGGATGACCAATAGTGAAAATCCCGTCCAAAATTGCATGGTCTGACTGCTGCTTCATAAAAAAGAAGCGCAGACAGTTTAGTGAGCCATTTTGCTTTATGCCATCATAATCTCAAGCCAAAAAATAATGAATCTTTGGCTCCATTGCAAATGATGGAAAAATTTCTGAGCAGAGTAATCCTAAAAAACCTAGAGGAATTAAAAGGCTATAACTTCAATAGTAAGATAATGAAAAATATGCTGTGTATTAGGTGCACACATCAATCTTTCAAACTCCAACTGGAATGTTCAGTATAGGACAATGTGGCGCTTGCAGTAGTGTGAGCACTTGATGTGGTGGCTATGTGGTTGATTTTTTTGCCACCAAGAATTTTCCCATTATAAATTCCATACAGCTTAAATTTTGAGATAAAAATCTAACAAATCCAAATAAACCAATTGAATCAAATTCGCTAAAACAAAATAGTCATTGTCCTGCAATGTTCTTAACATTCTTATGAATCATCATTACTACAATGTTACAAAGGCTCCCACCTACGGTGCGATAAGGGGGTCGGATGTACGCAGCCTTACCCCTGTACTAGAGCACATAGAGGCTATTTCCGGATGACCCACATAGAAAAATGTGTCGAAAATTGCATGGACTGACTGCTGTTTCATTACATGTTATATGCAGTGGTATATTTTAGAAAATTAAGTCAATGTATGTTTTTATACTCAAATATGAGTAAGAAATAAATATTTTAATGCTATTGATAGAATAACTATATATGATAACTGTCATATCATTAATTTGTAAATAATATGTAGTACCTAAATTGTGTGGGCATAAAATGTCATTGTTGTATAACTTTGACTAACAACAAGTTCATGTTTTTTGATGTACTTTATTGAATTAACTTATGTTTTATTTATTAAAATTACTTTGATTTTAAATAATTTGGGAAGTACATACAATGGTCACTGTTCTTAAGATATCCCACATCACATTTTCATAAAAACACAAGTAAATATATAAGATATTGAACTACTACTCTTATCGATCATTAGGATGACACACCTAGTCTTTGTATTTATATAATTGTATTAGAGCATAAAAATCTCAAATGAAAATTGAAGCTTTTATTAATATTTCAGACATCCCAGTTGATATTCATCATTAACAGTGTTGTATATAATATTTGGACAGCTGTTTTGATGGTGATCCCAATCTTTGGTAAATTGGTTTAACACAACATTTTGTGGAGTCTCAAGTATAGTTTAGAAATTGGATATTGGGAACATCAAGTTGCATAACCTCATGTCTGTTCTAACAAAATTCCGATGCATCACACTTGATGTCACGGGCACACTGATAGCTTACAAGGGAGAACTAGGCGACTACTATTGCATGGCAGCGAAAGCTGTTGGACTTCCGTGTCCTGACTATAAAAGAGTGCATGAGGGCTTTAAACATGGATATACTGATATGGCTAGAAAATATCCCTGTTTTGGGTTTGCAGAAAAGATGCCTAACATTCTCTGGTGGAAGACTTGTGTCCGAGATTCATTTGTGAAGGTAGATATAAAATCCATATAAACACAAGCACACAAGTAAACAAGTTATTGAATGCTTCATTCAGAGCCAATATGATAAAACTTTATTTCTGCTTATGAGTCCATTTTTTCACTGGACCCTTGCCTTGCGGGGACTCCAATGTGCACCGGGCTGCCCTTTTGTCAACTTGATCACCAAACAATAACTTATTTCGCTGAAAGTAGTGCATGAGATACTTTTTAAAACTAAAATGGTTGTAGTTAGAGAAAATAACATGCCTACCTTTATTTCCAAAGACTGGTTCCTTTAATTTGTATAAGAAATATCCTTATAAGTAAAACTTTTAGAAAATTTGGCAGATTCGGCTCATTCAACCACAACTTTAGAAAATTCAATAGAGTTAAGGCCACTCCAGTAATTTTAGATATTACCAAACTGGCCCCGAAACTCTGTCCTGTTTCTCAAATTATTTGCGTTTGTGGATCTCTGGTTTTAAAATGTATTGATGACAGGCAGGATATGATTATGATGAGGAGACATTTGAAAAGATCTTTAAACGCATATATGCAACTTTTGGTTCTGCTGCACCTTACACTATATTCCCGGATTCTCAACCATTCCTTAGGTGGCTTCGTTCTACTGGTGTTACAGTTGGGCTTGTTAGCAATGCTGAATATCGGTATCGGGATGTAATCCTTCCAGCCCTAGGCTTGAATAAGGTAAACATGTTATAACAAATTTTGGTATGCCGTATATGGTCCTAATATGACTAGAAGCAAAATATATTTTAAACTCTGATTATGAACTATATGGAAATAGAGTTCCTTTTGTGATATGGAATAATATACTACCGATTATGAAATTATCCTACAATAGCTGTCAATATTTGTGTATTGGTACTTTTATTAAAGTGTGTGGTATATGTAAACTTCACGAATCTGAAGTATCCATTTTGGTTGAGTTAGACCTGATTTAATATAGTAACAAATACTAGTCTAATAGTGGTTTGTTGGGTGCCAACCCACTCGTTGATTTGGGAAATCCATTTAGAGGTCCATGTGTCCATGCTTACATTTATCTAGTCCACCTTGTCCAGGCCGGGCTTGCCCGGCTTGGGGTGTGAGTTTCATATGAAACTGGTATATAATTTTGAGGTAAAGATTAGTTCTTGAGGATCCTTTGACGTCGAGTTAGACCGAATTTAACAATCACAAACAAGATTTTTACTTGGGATGTGGAGAGTAATGAGGTTCTTCTTATGTGCCCTGAATAAGGGATCTGAGTGGGATTTTGGAGTATTCTCTGGCCTAGAAGGTGTAGAAAAACCAGATCCAAAGATATATAAGATTGCATTGGAGAGAGCTGGAAATGTTGCTCCAGAAGAAGTTCTTCACATAGGAGACAGCATCAGGAAAGACATTATTCCTGCAAGGAGTGTGGGGATGCATACGATATTGCTTGACCGGTTCAAGACATCTGATGCTGAAAATTGGAGGAAATCTGGAGAGACTGTGCTACCGGACCTTAACGCAGTAAAAGATTGGCTCACTTCTCACAGTGATTCCATCCCTAAGTAAGTAGCTGGTTGCCGACACAAGTGCTCGAAATTATTATATACTCTCTTCATTTCAATGCATTCATGTGGAGAAGAGGAATCATGTAGATCGGCTGAATCTCTGTTGTATTTGACTATTTGCGTGATGCAAAGAAAATGAATTTGACATTTAATGAATTTTGTTCAGATACATGTACATGTTGCCATTATGTCGCTTAATAGTGTTTCTTCTGTGTTTTTTCATTCTTGTGGGTAACAAGTATTTAAAGACCAATCAACAACAACAAATATGTATGTACATATAATCCCACATTTAAAATTTTAAATTAATCATCATTATAACATGATCAACTTCTAGAATAAGAACCAATTACTTATTGGGAAGAAAGGATAAGCAAACTTCTCATAGGAAAAAACACCTTTTTGGAAGGGTCAATCTTCAAAGTCTTGCTTATTTATATTCCAGTCCATTGGCAAAGATACTAATAAAAAGCTTTACCAATTTGACCAAGTCATATACTCCGTATTACTTTGAAAATACCAAGGAAAATGACACTATTACTCATTGATATTAATAATGACATAATTTTCATTGAAACTGCCATCAATATGGCATTACTAATACATGCTGGTATTTTCGGAGATCGGAGCTAGTGGTGTTGGGGTGGCAGAGGTGGCGGTATAATTTTTTTGAAAGTTTTTTTTTAATTTTCAATTTTTTTCTATTTTTTTACTCCATCCGTCCGTAAAATACTTTTCAGTTTGACTTGGATCGGAGTTTAAGAAAGTGGGAATAAAGTGGAAATATATGACTGTGGTTGAGTAAGAAAAAAGTAAATTAATGGTAGCCTCACAAATCTGTGGTTGAGTAAGAAAAAAGTAAATTAATGGTAGCCTCACAAATCTTTCCAACAAGGGAACTGAGAAAAAAAAATTGGAACGTCCAAAAGGTAAGTGAGAAAATTTTTCAGTGATGGACAGAGTATTTTTTTAATTTATACCCCATTCATCCTAAAAAGGTTCGCCAAATTGATTTTTCTTGGTTAATGACAATCAACTTTGACCAATGATATTTTTTAATGCAAAATTATTTAGAAAATGAAAGTTATATCAAAATGTTCCTTATTCAAAATTTTTTCATAAAAGTATAAAATTTATAAATTATATACAAATATAATATTAAAAATCATTGCCCAAAGTTCACCATCATTGACCAAGAAAAGTCGACGAACCTTTTTGGGACAGGGGTAGTAATTTTTATTTTTCTAATTTTTTATTCTATTAATTTTATTAAATATTTTATTTTAGTCCAAAAAGCTACATGTATATATTTATCCAAACACATATAATTAGTCCTACTAGGGAATTTAATACTTCGTACAATGTATTATCATTTGTGATTTTTGGCTACCTTTTACTCCTAGTTAGATAATTTTCTCATAAAAAAACCATCCAAAGATTTTTTATTTCTGTTTTGTGAATAAAATAGTCTTCAGAACTCAACTTGATATAATTTGATATTTTGTGAACACTTGATTTGCTTTCAAATAATCAAATCACGTTGAGTTCTTCTACTTTTATACCTCAACCTTAATTGATCCGATTACTACATGGATTAACCCAATCCAGAATATGAACCATGAAGGGCTTTAACGTTTATTTATCGATCCCCACTAGTATAATTTGAGTTCTAGACATGGCTTAAGATAGAAATATTTGAAGCATCTCTATCATTGTAATCGATGTCTTCTTCATTCCCTTTTAAGACATATTTGCATGTTTTACTCTCTTGGTAACTGTGCTTCATTAATATTCTCTCATTATTTCTGAATCAAGGAGATGAGGAGATTGCTCTCATGTTTTTGAACAATATTCAATCGTTTATTGAGATGATTGAAGAATCACATTATTATGTAGTTTCATTGCACACAACAGTAATAAGAATATAATAGCACTGTCTGGATGGAGTGTAATCTTGTTCTAGCTAGTTAAGCCGGGGGGAAGTTTCCCTTGAAGAAAAGATGTAATCATAGTGAGTGCTCGCTCTGGTTGGTAGCTAGGGGGTGCGTGCCCGGCTACTCGTATTGTGACAAGTGTCAACCCCTTGTACTCTTCCACGTACCCGCCAACCTCCTTCAAATTAAGTTCAAATTTGAAGTGAGCATTGTTTCTTGTCGAAATGATAGAAAGTAAGAATGCTAAACATTTCTATGTACCTGGCCACTGTTAGACAACCATGGACGCCAGGCAGTCTTCACAGGAAGCTTCATACTGTCTATTACAAGCCTTGTTGCTGTTACTGATACTATTTCATCTGCATCCCCACTGCATTTGTTGTAGTTGTCGTGTTTGTCCACAACAAGGTATAAAATATCAAATTACTATTTAAGATCTTGAGACACTCATCCCTTTAGATTAGAACGAAACTCCAATTATTACTAGTTATTTGTAGGTGTTATTTGTAATGTCACCACTCCAAGTTGAGGCTTAGATGTTTGATGAACTGAATGATCAAGAAGGCATAAGAATTGCTTTGAGAACTTACCTATAAAGCCATATGCTTATGTTCTCTGCAATTAGCTGTTTGAGTATGGGGACAACTGTTCTAGGTGCATCCTTCCAGTTCGCCAGCCCAACTTTATCGCTGCACACATTTTTCAAGTATTTTTATCATTGGTGTTTGGTCAAACTTTGTTGTACATCTTTTTCTTTCTTATATATTTTACTTCGCCCAAAATGAGCGTCAGCTCAGAATCTCTCGCCGTTGGTTGACCCACAATGGATCCACTGAGCACAATGACAGCTAGGCACTCATTTTGGTTGAGCATCAGAGTATAAAACCATTACTCTATTCCCAGCAAAGAGCTTTCAAAACCATTTAGTCCCAAAAAAAATCCCACTTTAGAAAACAACCTCTCAGTACTACACTAAAAAATTGAACTATAAATAGGACTGAATGATATCTTTTTTGCAATCATTCAATTCTATTTATAGTATCGACTACATTTACATGACTCAATGACATTTGCAAAGTTATACTTTTACAGAACTAAAATATTGTACCTTCACTGAACTCTTTTTTGTATGGAGGGGGTACGAACCGAGTAGTTTTGTATATTTAAATATCTTGTTTGAGTAACAGTACATATGGTCCCTAGGGGAGTACCTGCAATCTCTCCAGATGGTATCGACAGTATGAAAAGAACTTTTCACATTCTTCCTGTTGAGGTAAGCCGCCACATATAAGCCCGAGCATTTATCATATCCCTTCATCATGATTTCAAATATCACATCTTTTAGTGTCAGTTTGATACAATCATATATGCACATATATAGCAGATTGCCTGTAGAATTAATTCTCACCGAACTAGGAGACTTGGGTTTTGTTGCATTGGGGTTGCAGTAAGAAGGCTCGTAAATGTAATGTATAGGAACAAGCGCACTGTCCAACCGTGCTTTCAATACGTACAGGTTGCAGATGGTAGAATAGTTGCCATGAACAAAGTCACAATACTTGGTAATTGCCTCATGAGATGCATCTGAGATCAATGCATGTGACCATAAATAGTCCATGTTTCCTTTCAATGTTAAATCAAGATCCAGGAAACCATTTCCAACCTGCCCGCAGTGATCCATTAGGATCAATCAATATAACTAAGTGCATACACTCCATCAGTCCCTCTGGTCCTTCAGGAGTGCTTGAGATTGCATTTTTAAGCGTTTTATATCTTTTTCTCACAAAAACCTAAAAGTAGTGTTTTTAAACTGGTGTTTCCACTTAAATCTAAACATTTTAAGCAAAAAGATGTAAGCATGGGGGAGGGGGAGGTATGTAAAACTGCATCACCACTTTTTCTTTAACATTATACTTTTATAATACATCAAAACAACCTTTTTACCGAACACTCAAACTTCTTTTTAATCTTCAATAACTATCAACTTTAACATTAAGCGCGTTTTCTACAATCACTAAAACAAATCACGTATTACCAGCACACATACTCAAACAGTCCCTTATTGTAAAACACCTTCTAAAAGGGGTCAATGACCCTTTATCAAGGCATAATCTTTTTCCGATGACATTTTTATTTTATGTTTTTTGCAATGTTTTCCCTTGATAAAGAGTGAGCTCATGATAATTTACTAACTGTAATTATTTAAGAGGCCTAATAAAAGAGGGTAAAATAAGAATATTAATTTTGAAAATGAAATCAAGGAAATTGATCAATTTCTTTGGTTATTTTATGACTTTTAATAAGACTATATACTTTGATGCAGAAAAAATCATACCCCCATTTCCCCAATAAAAGAGTCGTGTTTCGTAAGTATTCTAGTTCAAGAAACAAGACTCCTTTTCTCTTTGGGGGAGTGAGGTAAAAGGGTATAAGACTCACAATAATGCCTTTGAGGTTGATGAATTGTTTCCGGGAATGCTTGTTATGGGCTAAAATGGTGTAAGCAAGCTCAGGCACATAATGACCACCATAGCTTTCTCCCACTATGTAGAAATCCCGTGTCTTGTACTGCGGGAATCTTTCAAGCCAATTTACAAGAAAGACGTGTGAATCTGTGGCTGTTCTTCTGTCTCCGGTGGTATTATAGTCATTGGTTGTGTTGGAATAGGAAAATCCCACACCGGCAGGCGAATCCAGGAATATCACATTTGCCACTGCCATTTCAAATCAATGCTGGAAACCTTAGCCATATACATTCTAAGTTTTTAACTGCTCTATGTTCCAACCTTAAATGTTCTATAAGTGCTTACCCTTGTTCCAAGCATAATCGTTCCTGTACAATGTTTTCCCATCACTTTTAACTTTGTAAGGACCAACTTCCAAAAGTGCTCCAGCTCCAATCGATGAGCAACCAGGTCCTGCATACATACATCAGCAATAACCTTATTAGTGGACTACTAAATACTAGTCCTAATCATCCTCTGTGGACCTTAAGATTAGTATAACCTCTGCCTTAAGGGAAAAAAGGTGTTTCTTTGTGCATGTTGGGTGTAGGGATGGACCCGGTTCTAGTTTTGGAACCAGGCCTGTTGCTAGGTTTTCGGTTGCGAACCAGCATCCGGAACAGGTCCAAATCTGTTCCATTTTTTTTTGAATTTTTTCCAAATAGGAATGGAGCCAACCGATTACACATTTTTTAGTCTATATTCATTTTTCAAAAAACATGCTAAAAATTAGAATTAGAACCAATTTTTCAGGTCAAGGTTTCTATTTATCCCTACCCAACACAAATAAGAGAAAATTGTCCAAACAAAGACTAAAACATAGCCTTCTTTTAATTAATTAATGGGAAAAAGTACAAATATACCCCTATAGTATGAGTGTGAGAACAAATATACCTTTGTTCTATTTTTTGGAACAAATATATCCTTAAATTATATGTCAAAATGCATATATACCCCTGAACTTTTTAAAAGGTGCAAGAATACTCCTGATGTTCTTATAAAGGAGCAAATATACCCTTATGAACTTTAAATTGATAAAATAAATTTCAAAAAACACCAAAGATAAATTCAAAATTCAAAATTAGAAAATAAAAAAAGTTTAAAATGCACTTGTGTCCAATTCTCCCTTTTATTGTTTGTATATCACAATTTAATACGGAGTATTGTTAGTATAAAATATTATTTCAAAACTAAAATATATATTTAAGATTTTTTCAAAAAAAATGTTAACATATGTGTTGCAATGTAAATACGAGTAATATATTAATTTTTTGCGTTCTTGCACTATAAACTTACATATTTTGTATGACGATAAATAGTCCAAGATTATAAAATAGTGAATTTAATTTTATTAAGGTTAAACAAAATCAGGTATTTCAAAAAATATAACAATGTGTTCAAAATTTCACACCAAGATTAAAATTAATATTGTTGAATTTAAAGTGCTTCCTTTACAACGGAAAAATAATTTTTCAATTTATTAAAGAGTTAATATTTTAACATAATAATAAATCTTTATTTTTAAATTTTGAATTTATAATACGGAGTATATTTTTGGTGTTTTTTGAAATTTATTTTATATATTTAAATTCAATAAGGGTAAATTTGCTCTTTTATAAGAACATGATGAGTATTTTTGCACTTTTCAAAAGTTCAGGGGTATGTATGCACTTCAACATATACTTCAGGGTTATATTTGTTCCAAAAAATAGAAGAAAGTTATATTTATTCTAACACATATACTACAAGGGTATATTTGTACAATTTCCCTTAACTAATGAATTAATTAACTAATTAATTAATTATTAATTAAACTAATTAATTGTCCACTAGTTCCCTTGCAATTATCAAGGCAGTCCGGTGAGGACAGCAGACTCCGGCAGTGGTGGCGCAGATTCTGGGGCGGCCAACAACGGAGTCACGTTTTATGGCAGTTTGGCAGAAAATTTCTGGCGGCTGGCAGCTGTCCGACGACCCTTAGCCAACTGTGCTAAAGCCCAATGAAAGTATTTTGGTCCAATCACAGGTAAAAAGTCTTATTCAAGGGGTGTTTGACAATTGACTGTTAGCTGTTGGCTGTTGTCTGATTATGTTGGCTGATTAATGACAACAAATTTTGTTGGCTGTTTTGATTAACTAATTGGATTAGCTGTCTGTAAATTAGTGTTTGGTTAAATCGGTGTTTACAAACAGCTGATAACTTGTTAAATGACTTTTAAGGACATGAATTATTTTTTATTAACATAATTAGTATAACTTCCTTAACCATTTTAATGATTAAAAAAATAAAAATGTTTTTTTTTTCCGATCGTCAAAATGGATGACTTAAATTGATATCACAACATTAAGATAGAAGGTAAAACGACAAAAGGACTACTAGCAACCACCAACCCTCGAACCAGGCTTAATTAAAATGTATTAACACGTACAGTTAATAATTATATTTTTTCACGAATTAATAGATTTAATTAGTATCGTAATACTTTGCTTTTCTTAGAGAAACGCCAACATCATACTTTGATTAATAATAGGAGTTATTAGTAAAATAAAATAAAATTAAACGTAGTATCAAAAAATTGATACTAATACGCATATAGCCACTCTTTAATTAAGTTGTAAGACACTTTGTAACCAAACACGCCAAGTCGATAATGAATTCATTTTGGACGTGTTAAGTAACGAAAAATGTATGCATGAAGCAAGATCATTTCTATCAAAATACCTTGCTTATTTCATTTTATTATTATATATTACAAAAAAAAGTAGAAATTTTGATTTTACAATAAAAAATAGAAGGGAATATACAAAAAGTTTTAAAAATAGGAACTATTTCCTACCTAGTAAAAAGTAAAAAATAATGAAGTTATTAGTAAGGAATTAAAATTACACTTGTTACCAAAAAAATAGGAGGCATACAGACGTATTTTTTTTTTTGGGCTGCAACTTGATTTTTGTTTAGCAACAACTAGGAGCACATGTGTAAGAAAAAGATAGGAGGCATCATGGGAATATACAAAACAACAATCGTAAAAGTTGCGATTAATGACTTTTCATATTTTGGCTGTTTGAGATCAGAAGCAAAATGTAAAAGTCATTTAACCAAACACTCTAATTAGCTGATTATCTGGTCAAAAAGCTAAATAGTGGTCAAATCAGCCCAAAAAATAGCTGATAGGCCGATAACCAAACACCCCAAACTATTTTAAACCAGTAGATCCGATTTGTGAAAAAGCTACTCTCTCCCTCCCCTATAATTGTATCATTTTTTATTTTTGGATGTCCCTCTACTATTGTCACATACAATATTAACATTTGTGTGGTTCTAATTCATTCTTACTTTATACTCACTTTAGCAACTCATTATCAATCACATAATTTTACTTTTTTAAAAAATCATATCACTTTCTTCCTTCTCAATATTAGGGGTACGGAGCTAGTATGTTTTATCGAAAGCTCCTAACTACATGGCAGAAATTAGAAACCTCAACGTAAAATGGGGCAAAGATTAGATATTGACCCCATGGATATTATTCCTTTTTTTTTTTGTCTATTTCTACATTCTAGATTACTTATTTTTGTGTTAAACAAGAAGGATTCTATTATTGATATTGTTTCTCTCCGTTAAATAAATTTTTGTCACAGTGACGAAAATGATTTGTTCTCTTACAATAACCAGGGTACCAATTAGGAAATTATGCTTTGGATCATATGGTTAGCATATCCTTACTTGTCAAAAAATAAGGATAGTTTGTTGATCTCCTTGACAAGACGCATCTCCCACTATTTTTCTTTTAATTTTTCGGAGACTTTTTAAAATCATGGTTAATTTTTCTAACGTCCTTAGACGCCATGTCCCTGCTATGATAACGGAATTGAAACACATGCCCCACTTTGTTAGAAAATGAAACACATGTCCCTATCTGAAAATGACCCTAAATCTTATTAACTACTCTCTCCGTCCCCTGTTATTGTCACATTTCCTATTCACTTGGTAAACACGAATCACTCTTAGTCTCTTACTTTATTTATCAAATTTTTATCAAATTTGATTCTGGTTTTTGCGACTTTGTAAAACTTTTAATGTATTTTCTGAATATGCAATTTTTTTCCTAAAAGTAATTCTAGCGCAGACATGGATCTGTTTGCTTTATCGTCAGTAAAGCATGGTAAACCGTAATGGGACAATAACAGGGGACGGAGGTAGTATATAAGATTTATGAACTATGTAGCACGGGAAACAACATTTTCAAAAAAAGTATGACACGAAAGGTGGGGGGAATAAATATAAAAAATATAGGATTGTTTAAATAAATAATTTCATACTTCATTGAATTTCTCTAATATTAGTGCCAAACAAAATCGAATAATAATGTATCATATCTTAAAAAACACAAACTCATCTTGTCAGGTTATACGCAGCCACAGAGCCACTCGTCTGTTCCGGAAACGGCCCCAAAACGAGTTTCTTGCGTTTTTGACGTTTTGAAACCTTGGGATTTGAACGTTTCCGTGCTTCATTGAATTTATGAATGATTACTAATAAAGTAGCAGTGAAAGTAGAGCATATGTACCTCCGGTTAGCCATAAAAGTAGAGGTTTGGCAGAGGAATTCTGGGGAGATTCAACAAAGTAATAAAACAAAGCTCTTCCGGCCTTGGGGTCAACCGTAACATAGCCTGAATATTGGTTAAACTTCTCTCCGGCAGGTTGCTGCGGCAGGGAACGGATCTTATCGGCCCTCCTCAGCCCTTTCTGGTTGCCAACATATACTGAAGACGGGGGAGGAGAAGAAGAAGAAGAATAAAGAAAAGCTCTGGCGGCATCACCTTCTTGATCCAGAGCAGGCCACTCTTCTGAAAGGGGGACTTCCTTTGGTTTGAAAATTGTGGAGTTTATTAAGCTGTGGATGTTCTCTCTCTCAGTGGAAGCTTGAGAGGGTATAATGGGGAACACCCATTGTTGCAAAGAGAGAAACACCAGCCATGGCAGTAACAATTTCATACTTTTTTTTATCAGGAGAAGGAAGAAACCTGGTATCTTAGGTCAGACAGACTCAACAGACATTTGCATTTATACACTGGTTATTTCCATTTATAGGGGATGTCTCTGTCCTTTCCCTTTTAATTGCATTCTTCCCCTATCTCCTTAGTATTTTTCTTTGTGTACATATCATTTTACACCTCTTTATACACACGGTACACCAGAGGTTTTAGGAAGCCTTCTTTGTGGATGTATGACTCCATAGAAGAGTCGTATAGAAGAGTCGTATACGGCTTTTTAAAACCTCTCAACCTTTTTACAAAGTGAGAACTCTAGTAGTACCCATTTAAAAAAGGCTAAAGGGTCAAATAGGTCCCTGTACTCATATCAATAGCTCAATTGGGTACCCGAACTAAAAAAAGGTTCAATCCAATCCTCCAACTCTTCAAAATCGTTCAATTTGACCCTTTAGCCGGTAAACTCCCGGTACTATTTGATAGTACCGGTATACTCAATTGAGCTATTGATATGAGTACAGGGACCTATTTGACCCTTTAGCCTTTGAAAAATGAAAAAATTGAACGATTTTGAAGAGTTGGAGGATTGGATTGGACCTTTTTTTTAGTTCGGGTACCCAATTGAGCTATTGATATGAGTACAAGGACCTATTTGACCCTTTAGCCTTTAAAAAATGGGTACAGTACCTCTCATTCGAATGATTGGTTTAAACATGTACTCCCTCCGTCCCCTTTTAAATGTCTCATTTTAACATATTGGGATTTCCCTATTTAATTGTCTCATACCTTATTTGGTAAAGTTTGTGTGGCTCAAAATCATTCTTACTTTATTCTTACTTTATCTATTAATATCAACCACACAAACCTACTTTTCTTAAAACTTGTGCCACCCTTTTCCGGAACATTTAAAAGGGGACGGAGAGAGTATATCATTTTTAATTTAGGCTTAAATATTTCAACTGCAACATTCTGATTAGTCCATGTGAACAAAGATATGATACTTTATGAGTATCATAGAATCTACCAAAAATCGAAAAAATTTCACTTTTGGTCCCACATTACTCCATTGACTTTCAATTTAATCAAATCTAGTTCGTGACCTTTTCCATTTCACCACCCGTCGTCCTTCCGGCCACAACTCCGGCAAATTTTAACCGGAAACTCATATATGTAGAAATATTGGGTGCATTTTAGCAATTGTATGTTGTTATAACGGTTACCTACAAAATTAACTTCAATTAATGTTGAGTTAACACGCCGGCTTCCTTCATTCTCAAAACCGAAATCTTCTCCAATTTCCCAAACTTCTGTCAGCCTGAAAAATCCTCAACCATCGTTGGAACAATAGACCCTCACAAGTATGAAATTTTTTTCATGTGATTGACTTTCCTTTCTAAACGAGTTGTCTATTTAGACATTTTTATGTAAATTTTACACTTGGCCGGTACATACAAATAATTGTTGTATATACATATAAGTGTATGTGTACACAATTTCACTACCAATAGAATTTTTGATTGGGCATAGACTGGGGACGGCGTCAGAAAAGAAAAGCGAGCAGTCGTAAATGTGATGTTGGATGAGAGGGTCCGGCATCGAGTGATAGCAATTCCATGCCTTCCTTCCTGGCGTAATTCGAAGCGTGTACTTGGGACCCACACCACACCCATTGGCTACGACTTTCTTCTTTTGTATGCCGCAAACCAAGTTCTAACCCATTCTTCACACTTTACACCATTTGCTGGTCGGAAGTCCAAATTGTTAAATTTGGATCCCATTCATATCAAAAAAGTGTTTCAACTCCGTGCAAAGTGTTTCCCCTGTATCCGTGCATCTTCAATAAAATGCACTCAACATATTTTTTTACATATCAATTTAGTAAAATATTAATCAATTTATTACAAGTAATGTTTTCCGTTTAATATTTTTCCTAAATAATTGTGAAATAAAAAATACACATTTCTATGTGAAAATAAATAAATTTCATTAATTCTTTTAAATGTTTTCTGTTAACAAAAATGAACTTAGTTCAAGTAAAGTTCGATTATGAAATATTCAGTTATTTGTGAAGAATCTATGAATTAAAAATTTGTATTTCATCGTTTCGTAGATTGAAGAAAACTTCAACAGTTAAAACTTAAGAATTTTTGTTTTATTTTATATAATATCGTAGTACATATTGATGTCATATGGAAGATCATAAAATTTTATGAATTTTGATATATATTTTGAAAACTTTGGAGAATAAATAAAAAAGTTAGAAGAGTTTAAAACAATTTGGGATAAAAATGATGTCACCGTGGTGTCAGGGAACACATGGTTTGGTTGCACCATCCGGCTTAGGAACCGACTCATCCCCTTTTTCTTTTCGTTTTCATTTATTTTTGGCTGTCAATTTCTCCCTCTTTTTTACACTCTTTCACTCCCCTTTCCACTTTTACTCCCCCTTTTAATCCCCACTAGAGTTGTACCCAACCGGTTCAGCCCGGCCCAGAACTGGCCCGGCCCGTCACTGTGCGGGCCCGGACCGGCCCGACCCGCCACTGTACGGGCCCGGACCGGCCCGGTTGGTGTTAATCGGGCCCGGGCTTTTACCCGGTTGGGGAGGGTTGGGCGGGTCAGGCTCGGGCCCTATATTTGTTGAACCGGCTCGGGCGGTTCTGGCTGGGCCCGGATTTTTTTTTGTTTTTTCATTTTTTTTTGTTTTTCTTAGTTAGGGCTGGGTGTTTGGGGGGGGGGGGGGGGTTGGGGGGGGCTGAAGGGGGTTCGGGGGTTAATTACAAAGCAAAAAAAAAATACCTTAACCCGGACCCGGTATCAACCCAGGCCGATTCCGGGCCCAACAATTTGAAAAAAAACCCATCCGGGCCCGGCTTGGAACCGGAACCGGACCGACCCGAGTCCATCCCTAATCCCCACTACACAAAAGTAAGAGTCTAAACTCTTCATTTTTAATCTTTTGACTCCTGATCCCAAGCCACTACAAATGGTATTAGCTTCTTCCATAGTCATACATCCCACTTTCACACTGTAATATGGATGGGTCTTTAGAAAATGACTTGTCATAAAAAATGTAGTAGTAGCATTGTGAATGACTAAAAACGCTGATTCATGTTTATGTTGGATAGACGTTTGGCCTTATGAACGGAATTGTTGAAATAGAAACACCAGTAATAACGAGTTCTTTTCCTAATATGCTAAAGAATAATTATTTGCTAAAGTAAGATTGGATTAAAACTATTTACCAAAATACTACTCCCTCCGTCCCTATATAAAAGTATCCATTCATTTTACACACATCTTAAGAAAGTGGGTTTGGTTGGTACTGTTTGGCACTGTTTGAACACTGTTTGGCACTGTTTTGCACTGTTTTGCACTGTTTTGTTTGCCAAAAAAGGAAAGAGAACTTTTATTCAGGGACGGCCCGAAAAGGAAACAGATGCTTTTATTTAGGGACGGAGGAAGTACTAGATTAAACCCTGGTTACCGAAACTGGCGTTTGAAGTGGCAACTTTTGTTTGAAAAATGAACATGTGTAAACAAGGCAGACGCAAGAGAGAGGGTTGTGTGCTGGGCGTAGGTTAAAAGAAAATCATTAAAATGGTATAACTTTTACTTTTTTTTATCCATAGTCAGCGGCGGGCGTCATGGTGAAGGTGCCACTTTGACCATAGTCACATGTGAGTGTTGCAGTGTCATTGTGCGGTGTCACCAACGTGAAAATCTGACAGTAACAACTCTTAGTGGCATTTAAAAATCGCAGTGACACAAAATTTTTGCAGTGAAATCATGTTTTTCAAATATATGACTTTGTTAATTACATTTTTGTCAATAATTAAAAGTAGTTACATTTTTTAAAACTGACTCCAATTTAGTACGAAGTAGTATTTAGGCGAAACACCCCCTTTTAATTAGAGTAGTGTATTTTACCTTCATTAAGAATATTTATCTAATAACTTTGAGTACTCGCACTTTCAATTTCAAAATTGTGATTGTTTGACTTGTTTCTCACTTCAAATTAGTAACTTATTGATTATACATTTATATTTTGAGATGCACTAGCTAGTTTATACTTTTTATGAGACATAATATAAATTTATTTCTAAATGTTTTGATAATGTGAAATAGTTCAATATTATGAATGGGCAGGGGGGGGTACTATATAGTATGAATATATATTTTCAAAAAGTTCTTTTAATTTTTAATATTTATAAATACACACCTCCATAATTTTTAATATTTATAAATATACCTTTGTATCGGTATCCTACTTTTTTACTGTTATGACTTATGATTGAACATACAAGTGAATGCGTGAAGAAGTCCAAATTATACGTAGTACAAAATATTGATCATTTTTGTTTTATTTTGTGTTAAATTTAGAGAGTGTTTTTAGAGAGCATTTTGGTCAAGAGTTTTATATAGAATTTATATATGAAGCGGCCATTCAATCTCAAATTGTCTTTAAACTTCAATTGCTTATGATTACAGCTTCTCAGACTTGTCAGTCGATTTTTTCACCAAACACGTAATTTTTTATTTCGTGCACTGAAGTTTGTAATAAGCAGAAAAAGTAAGGTTGCAGTTACTTTTCTGGTTGTTCTTGTTGAAGTTACTGTAGAAAATCATTTTAGCTATTTTTGCATATAATTTTTTATTTAATTTATTAATAACAAATATTTTAAATATAATTTTTCATGAATCAGCAGAATCAGCCAATACACTCATTTCAACCAGAAGTTCATAAATTTCAGCAGAATCAGTTAATTCAACCAATTTTAATGTTACGTGTGGCTCTTACTTCCCGTTTTCCATTGATCTTCCTATCACCCTGAGGGAGGGAGGACACGTCGAAGTAGTAGTATCTAGAACCCCTAGAAGTGTAGAAACCGTGTGTTGCCGAAGATATTTGAGTACGTAATCATCGTTTTTGACCAAAAGGTTCAATTCGGTTTTATAGTTTAAAATGTGAAATTATGATTAGATTGATTTGGTTTGCTTGAATTCAATTCCGGATTTTTTGCTTTTTACTCAAAAAAATTCATTTGATTTAAAATGATACTCCGTACAATAGTTGAGAATCAATCATACTCTTTCTAAAAGAAAGTCATGGTTTGACTTCACGATTATTAAGGAATTAAATTGACTTTACTGTAGAAAACATTGTTTAAACACTGTTTGGCACTGTTTGGATACTGTTTGGCACCGTTTCGCACTGTTTGGCACTGTTTGGATGTAGATTTCTTTGCCAAATAAGGGAAGTGTG